TCACACTCTTCATAGCCAACTGTGGTTCTTGTTCCTGTGCCTGGCTTGGTGTCTGGTATACAACAGATACTCAATAGTTGTTCTTTGAGGGGTGAATGCATCAGAGATGGGCTGCACAGGCCCATACGTTAGGTGCACTGGTTCCCAGATTGAGGACAGCTAGTGTAAGGGGGATCACCTGAGGTCTCCAGGTACCTGTGGCAAACATCCAGCAGAAAAGAGTTGGGGCCCCTGGCAGCAGCTTCCAGGGCCTGAAATACCCCTCCCCTTTCTCCCTACAGTGAAGACATCTGTTAAGCTACAGTATATGGATAACATTCGCTGGATCCGGGAGGCTGCCAAGCACCAGCTGGTGAGAGCTTGGCTTGGGGGAAAATGGGTACTGCAGAGTCATGAAGGAGGCTGAGCTGTGAAGAAATTGCCCAGAAACAAGGTGCAGGCATAGAGGTCTCAGCACAGTCGCAGCTTGTCATGCCCTGAGAAGGTGCAGACCCTGCATCCATGTGACTGTTGACAGCAGCACCATGGTGGCCACCTTATCCAGGAAAGTGGTTGTAAAGGGGTGTCTGGGTAGCAACATGGAGAAACTGGAAGCCTTAGACAGTGTTGGTGGGGATATAAAGCAATGTAATCTAGCCATTCTATGCTATCTATACACCCAACAGGATTGGAACCAATTTCAGGGTGCTATAGGTACTGTAGATAAAATGCCAAGGCAATCCAAAGGGCTCTTGGCAGACAAATAGGTCAACAAAATGTCCCTCCTTACAAAGCAACAAGTAATGGCATTCCACCAGTCACTGACCCAGTTTTCTGGGTAAAACGGAAGGACACGATGTTAAGAGAGATAAGCCAGTCACAGAAGGACAAACCCTAGCCAGATGCCACTCACATGCAGCCCCTAGAGTAGGCAAGTCATAAACAGGGAAGTAGCAGGGTGTTGTTCCTGGGCTGGGGAGGGGGGGTCAGTGTTTCATGAAGACCGAGTTTTGGCTTGGGAGAATGAAAAGGTCCTGGGGCTGGATGATGCGGCCTGCTGCACAGCACTGCAAAGTGGTTCATGCCACCAAGCAGCATGCTGAGACATGGTTAAGGTAGTCAAATTTGTGTTGTGTGTATATCTTAGCTAGGGTTTCTATTGCTGCGGTGAAACACCATGAGCAAACGCAGGTTGGGGAGGAAAGGGTTTATTGGGCTTCCACTTTCACTAGTGTTGTAGTCCATCCCTGAAAGAAGTCGAGACAGAAACTCAAACAGGGCAGGAACCTGGAGGCAGGAGCTGATGCAGAGACCATGGAGGGGGGCTGCTGACTGGCTTGCTCCTCCTGGCTTGCTTGGCCTGCTTTCTCATAGAACCCAGGACCATTGGCCTAGAAATAGCAGCCCCATCAATGACTAAGAAAATGCCTTACAGCTGGATCTTATGGAGGCATTTCTCAGTTGAGATTCCCCCCTTTCAGATCATTCTAGCTTGTGTCAAGTTGACATAAAAATAGCCAGGACCGTGTATTTACTGATTTTTTTTTTAAATGATGAGGGTAAGAAGGGTGGCTTGGGACTCTGAAGCAGCAAACAAAGTCATCCTTCATCCAGTCGGTCCACAGACAGTCTCTGGAGTTCCCGTGGGAGGTGGGAGCTCAGACACCTGAGCTAGCTTTGTGACAGTCTCAGCTGAACGCCCTGGGCGAGTGGCTCAGCCTCCATCTATGACATGGAGGCAGTGGTGCTGGATCCTGCGGTGGCCTCTGTGACCCTCCCTGGGCACAGCTCTGGCGGGCCCAGAGCTGAGCACACAGTGAAGGACACCGACACCACCAGCAGAGGGCTGGTCTGAATAGGTGCCAGATGCTAGAGCAGCTGCCAGGCCCTGGTTCCGGAGGACAGGAGGACGGGGGAAATTAAATAAAGAAGAAACATTTGGTCCACACATGACTATGCTAGCCAGCAGCTCCCGGGCCAGAGGTCTCAGGGCCAGGAGGGAACTGTCCCCATCTTGGCCCATCCCATCCTAGAGCCATATTTTGCATGTGTGCTCCCATAAAACCCCCATGTGCCAGTCACAGTCTCTATGGGGCCCTGGGGCTGGGGACAGGACAGAGGGAGTGCAGTAGACAGAATACACAGCCATCCTGAGAGGGGGGGGGGGAGGCAGAGCTGGCAGCAGAGAGGCATCTGTCTGGGACTGCTACAAGGGGTGGGTTCAAAGCCAGCGGCACATGCCACAGGACCAGCAAGCAGGGCATGCTGTCCACCTTTGAGTGGAAGTGGTCAAACACTCGCTCACCCTACTTCAAGATGCTTTTCTGTCGAAGGCTGGCGGTTCTTTTTATATACGACATTCTTGACAAACTTGGCACTTGTGTTCGCTGCCCTTCCCCATGCTGTGACCAAATAGCTGAGGAGGACTCACTGAAGGGGAGGACATTTATTACGCATGGCTTGAGGGAGCAGTCCATCCCAGCTGCGAAGGTATAGTGACAGGTGTGTGAGGCAGCTGGTCACACTGCATGCCCAGTCGGAAGGCAGAGGGAGATGAACACTGGCCTTCAGCTTGCTTTTCTGCTTTTCACAGTCACGGAGCCCAGCCCGGGAGATGGTGCCGCCCACCTTAGGGGTCTCCCCTCTTCAGTTGGCCTTTCCTAAAACTCTTCCTAGTGTACCACAGATGTGTTTCCATGGCCATTCTAAATCTGGTCAGAGTCACAGTGAAGATTAACTACCACAAGCCATTTTATATCCGTGCTTCACTCCCTCCCCCCCCCCAAAAAAAAAATCTGAACACCTCACAACACTGATTCACACTTACAGATTTAAAAAAAAAAAAAAAAGACCAGAGGCCCCTGTAGTTCCTAAGGCCGTTTGAGGGGCCGTTGCTAAACAATGAGGATCCTGGCCCCACTGCCCAGGCCAGCTCTGAGCTCAGGAAGACATGAGTGGCCCTGTCGCCTGTCCTTGACACTTTCTGCAGTTTGGGCCAGATCCTCGGGTAGGAGGAGCAGACACACGGCACTTCCTTTCAAGAAACTGTGATTTTTCAGCCCAGGCACTACCCACATTTGGGAAGGAGGCATTTTTTAAATTGCAGCAAGATACACATAAATATGCATACATCTTACGATCCTCCTTCTAGGCATTTTCAGGGTGCGGCTCTAGAGTGTGAGGCACATTCGGTGCTGTCTGGCAGCCCTTGGCATCTATTTCTAGAACTTTCTCATCTTCCATCTGAAACTCTGTTTCTAGTAAACACTGCCCTCCCTCCCCAGCCCTGGGTGCCCTAGGGCACCACACACACACCCCACCCCCCACTGCCGCCGCCGCCGCCGCCTGGAGCGCGGGGCAGTGTTTGTCTATCCCGACTGGCTGGCTCCAGCTGGCATGTCTCAAGGTCTTTCTGTGCAGCTTGAGTTAGAATCCTCTGTCTTCCCAAGGCTGGAATGCTACAGTTTGCCCTCTCTATCTGAGGTGGGGGGTTGGCTTCCACATCCCGGTGGATGCCACAGCCCACTCAGATCCTTAGTACATTTGACCTCGTGTTGGCACAGAACGGACACAGACCCTCCACATGCCTTTTATTGCTTTCTGGATGACTTGTTAGACCTAAGACAAGGTAGAAGCAATGTAAACATTAAATATTGAGTCACTTGGGAAATATTCCCATGTACATTCAATACAAGTGGGTTTTTTTTTCAGCAATGTTCTTTTTTTCTTTCATATGTTTATGTGTGGTATGCATGTGTGTATACATGTTTGCTCGTGTGGGGCACATGTGTGTGCTGATTCATGCACGTGTATGTCTGTGTTTGAGGCCAGAGGTTGACACTGAGTATCTTCCTTGATCACTCTCCACTTTTTATTTACTGAGGCAGGGTCTCTTGTTGAACCCAGGGCTCACTATCTAGCTCGGTAGGGTGTTCCAAGGATTCTGTCTCAGCCTGCTGAGCACTGCGATTACAGGTGGGCTGGCCAGCTTTTCCGTGGGTGCTGGGGATCTGAACTGTGGTCCTCATACTTTCATGAAAAACATTTTATGCACTAAAGTATCCCCTAACCCCTTTCTTGATCTTTTTAAAGATGAGGTCTTACTATGTAGCCTTGGGTGCCCTGGAGCTCACTATATAGCCCAGACTAACCTCAAACTCACAGACACCGACTTGCCTCTGCTTCCTGAGTGCTGGGATGAAAGGTGTGTGCTATCACACCCAGATTCCCTGAACATTCTTGATCAGTAGCTAGTTGAATCTGCCGGGGCAGAAGCTGGAGGCACGGGCTCTATTCCGCCACGGGAATAGACCACCTTTGGCCTGTCCATGCTTCAGCTACTGGACACCTCTGCTGTTTCCACCTCTTGCTCTTGTGAATGATGCCACCACACTCTTGGCTAAGCAGACACCTACCCCTGGGGATCCTGAATTAGTCTCTATTTGGTCCACACACCAAAATGATCTGCAGCCATCGCAAGTAGCATCCTGGCTGAGAACCATGGGGCTAAGAAATGACTCATTTTCATTTCTGGAAGCTCACTGGCATTCTCTTCCAGAGGTGCAATACAAGAGCATGAGATCCAAGTACCAACCTGTAGGGAGGTTACCCTTCTGTCTGGGCCTCAGTTTCCTCATCTGTGTGATCAAGCTTACGACAAGAACGCAGCATCTTCCTGGAGACTTAGCTGTGGACTGTGGGGAGAGTACTCTCAGCAAGCCAGGCTTGATCAAGTCTCACACTGGTGGTACTGTGACGATGTGGAAAAGGCTCAGAGAGGCAGGGCCCACAATAGGAAATGTCCATGGTTCACATGGAGTCAGTCTCTGAGGGGTCCTTCAGGGATGGACCCTAAGGGAAAGGACATAGAAGGGAATGAGATGGCTCAGACCTCATGAGAAGTCCATTTGTGGGCATGCAATGGCCCACCAGTGTGGTAGCTAACGGCACCTCAGCCAGGTAACATGGCTGTAGTATCACCCACATCTCTCCCATACCACTAGTTCTTGGATGCTTGCTTTTGGCTGAGGGGCTTTCTCTTTCTCTTCTTTGCAGGTGGTGGGCTCCCAGGCGAGGATCCTGTACTCAGACCAGAAAGGACGTGTGGCCATTGCCGTGGCCATTAACCAGGCCATCGCCAGTGGGAAGATCAAGGTGACGTAGCCTGTGTTGCTTCAGGGAGGCTTCATAAACATCTTAGCACACAGGCCCTTCCCAATGGGGACTTCCTGCTCACACCCCAGTCTGCCCTCCCCACCTCTCCAACCTTCTGAGAGCGGCTCCCATCAGCACCCTGACCTTGCAGCAGGGAGATTCCACCCTCCCCTGGCTGAGTTCCTCTGTAGGGATACAAGGTTCCCCGAAGGCCTTGGACTCTGTGGGGCAGATAAGCAGAGGGGCCTAGGGAAGAGCTGCTCTGGGAGCCAGGCCCTGCTTGAGAGGCAATGGGGAGGGAAGGAGAACATGGAGGGCCTAACATCCTCCCAGAGCCCCGACCCTGATCATAGGTCACTGTGGTGGGGGAACTAGAGACAAAGACTGAGTAGGCTTGTCCAAACACAAGTCCCGACAGTGTCTCTTTTGCTGTGACCTGGGTCACTCTGACCTTGAGTTTTTCAATCTGTGGGAAGAATGCATGCTGAAATGCCCAGTGTAGGTGTGAGGATCAAATGAATCACAGTCCACAGAAGTAATGCCACACATCTTTTCCGAGTTATCTTGTTCAAACTGTGACAAATGTCCCCAAGTTCGATTACTTTCCTCACACCTCTGGAGACCCAGAACCCTGAGCCTTGAAGAAGCCGGGTTGCTCCTTTCCTTCTTGTTCTGGGTACTTGTGTCCTGTTCCTAGGGGCATTGCTCTGCCAGGAGTACTGGGAACGATACTCAGAGGTGAGGGTGAACTTAAGAAAAGTGTGAGGTGTGGAAGGGCATCCCTGCAGACGGTTCAGGGTCAGAGCCCAGGGTTCAGGGTCAGAGCCCAGGGTTCAGGGTCAGAGCCCAGGGTTCAGGGTCAGAGCCCAGGGTAGCACCGGCAGCAAGAACAGCAGCCTGAGCTCTCTGGGGCGCTTCCCAGAATCCCACTGTGTGTGAGGGCTGCTGAGAAGCCCTGCTGACATCCATGCCAGCACTCTCCCTCTTTAGTTCATCGGATAATGTTTGATAGAGTTCTGCTGTGCTGGTGCCTTTCCTGGGACACAGCAGAGGGCAGGGTGGACAAGGTCCCAGCTTCAGAGCTGGTGTAATGAAGGGGAGACTGATATATAGCTCCTACATACATGACTCCTACATACGTAACTGCATAGCTCCTATATAACTCTTAGGAGATGTTTGCAGGTGTCGTGAGCCCTAGGAAAATATGAGCCAAGTGGTGAGGTAGAGATCCATGGTCAGTCAGGACATGAAGTTCTAGCATTTAACGGAACCCTGAATAAGCAGAGAGCCCAGAGAGCAATTTCACTGCAGAGATGAAGCCATAGGCCCAGCACGGCCTGCTCAAGAAAGACAAGAGCAGCTGGGGGGTTCTGCAGTACCACGGAGTCCTCAAGCCTCCCAGCAGGTTGCATCATATTTGGTGAGCCTCTGAAACTCCGAGAACCGCTGTGGACAGTTGAGAAGGTTAACTGTATTTCCTTCATTGTACACTTTGAAGAAGATGCTTGGGCCAGGGCTGGGAATAGCATCACCTCACTGGAGCCGAGTGGCAGTCCCCATGGGCTGTGGGAACCAAGGATCACACTTGACAATGCAGGTGCCCACATCTCCTCTGGTGCCATCTTGCTAGCACAGAGTCCCCTCTACCCACTTCTCTCCCTCTGACCTCATATGGCTCTGGGAAAAGCTTACTTTCATGATGGGACTGCTAGTCACAGCACGAGTGACCTGAGCCCACCTGCCCTCAGCCACACCTGCTGCACCTCCAGGGTTAGTGGCACTCCACCACATGGGTACAGGCAGGAAAGCCACCCACTGTGCATACTGGGTCCCCAGGGGTCCTGAAATCTTTAGACTAGCAGGAGCACTATTGGCACAGGTGTGACTGATTTCACCGTGTGATCTTTGTCCTCACAGACACTAGCAGCACACAAAGGACCCCAGCAATTACCTAGTCCAGATAACCAAGGCCCAGGGAAGGGAGGGGACCTGCTTAACATCTCATAAGGAGTTTTGTCCATATCCCTGCTTCCCAGGTCACTAGAGGCACTTCCTAGTTGTGCCTACCCACACCTACACCCACACACCTAAAGCTGTCTTCTAGCCCCTTCCCTCACTGCAAAGGCTCAAGAATCAAACTTCCCAAGGGTGGAGCCCAGACTTTATATAGCATGTATAGGTTTACACCCCAGCTCACCAGCTTTCAAGCTCTTTGGCGTAGAACAAGTCCCTTAGCCCTCCCTTGCCTCTGTCGTCTTGCCTATGAAGTGAGCATGTTAGCTGTCCTGCTATCTGCCTGCCTCTCAGATTCTTTTCAGAGTTCCTATCTTTGCCCAGAAGTTCCACCTATCCTCTCCTGCCTAGCTATTGGCTGTTCAGCTCTTTGTTAAACCAATCAGAAGATGCCTTGGCAGAGACACATCTTCACAGTGTACAAAAACATTATCCTGCAACATTTCCCTCTTTTTTTCTAAATAAAAATTAAAGGTTTTGGCTTTAACACAGTAAAACTATATACAGCAAGAACATGTATTAGGTAAAAATTACATTCACAATGTCCAATCCATTTGTATTTTGCAACTTTGGAGAAAGTATTTTATTATCTATCCTATCTTGGTGAGTCCAAAGTCTTATACTTAAACCACTTTCTATCATAACTTGTATTACCAACCTAAAAATATCATTTTAGACCCTAAAATTTTTTTTCTTAGATAAGCAACTTAAGCTTTTATGTCTCTCAATCTTTATAAACTTTACATCTCTTTTGTAAGTTTCTTTTTGAATTTGGTAACAAGGAAAACTGTAAAACTGTAACTATCTAGTCTTCAACTCCCATCAGAGACCTGAGAAGGATGAAATATTACCTGAGTAAGCAGGAAGTACAGAGCAAACAACTTGCAAAACTATAGAAATGATAGAGACAGCTGGCTGCCTGGACAGTCACCCAGGGTTCCTCTGAAATGTTGGGGCATCCATCTGCCACGTACAGACCTAGAATATCCTACCAACTTTTCCAACTTTTCCGTGAAGCAGGAATTTTGAAGGACTGTCCCACCTTGTCTTGGCAAAGTTTGGAAGTCATCTTCTTTTGTGTCTTGCTTGTCCAATTTGGACAGTTATACTGTCAGCAGTAGAGGCAAGGGCAATTTTTTACCCAGTGGCAAACTTTGCCACAAATGAAAGCAAATTCCATATAGAGGTTCTTCAATGCCCATTGTCTTCTCTCAGGTAGATTGGTTCTGTCAGGAGCAGATGTATCTCACAATCATGAAAAGCCTTATGTTATTAAAGCATTTTAAATTTCATATTCTGTAGGTCTCTGAAGTGTTTGAAGACCACCTATCTACCTAAAATATATCTCTGTTTGACCTTGAAAACATACCTAACATGACTACAAGTCATGACTACTAACCTGCTTTTCTTAATTATCCTAAAGAGTTTGTAATAATAGCTTTCAAGGACTAGAACTTTACATTACATTTTTAAATGAGCTGCATAGGTATAATACCTTAAACAAAAGTAGAAACATATATATAGTATGTTATAACAAAAAAAACCTTAAATTTCTTTCAATATACAAAAATCCATACCAATGTAAAATATTTGAGACTAGCAATTGCTTTTTAGTTTAAAATTTGATGCAATAATCTACCCTTTTATCCTATCATTCCTAAGAGTGGGTCTATCTTCAAGGGGAAAGAATCCAAACGGTACCTGGAGTAGCCCCACTTTTATCCTCTGTCTCACGCCAGCAAGCCTGGTAGACACTACTGACTGATATACCCTTCCCTGTCCCTGGCAGGCACCAGTGGTCCTGAGCCGTGATCACCATGATGTGAGTGGCACTGACAGCCCCTTTAGGGAGACTTCCAATATTTATGACGGTTCTGCCTTCTGCGCAGGTGAGGAAAACAAAAGGATTGTTGTCACTTAATATTAGCCGGCTAAGGAGATGCACATCCATAGTCCCAGCACCTCTGGCAGCTGAGTAGGACCGGGAGCTTGAGCTTAAGAATTAGAAGCAGCCTGGGTAACAGAGAGACCTCATCTCAAAGGGAGGAAGTAGATTCTCTGTCTTCCAGGTTCTGGGCTGCAGGCTTTCTTCCTCCTCCCTCCCCTCCTCCTCTTCCTCTTCCTCCTCCTCACCCAGCACCAGGGAAAGCCTAGGTTCCCTGATCTCTGTGAGAACTGTGGGGGTGGGGGGCATGGAGGTGGATGAAGAGCTAAAGAGGAAGCTGCAGCCTTATGCCTCCAGGGTGGTGAAGCAGCAATGGTCACAGACCTACTCACACCTGTCCCTCAACATGTTAGCGGCTTAGAAGAAAACCAGCTGGGCTCTGCCTCCCCATGGGTGCCTGGTTCCATAGTTTGTTGGGTAGATGGCTGCCCTAGAATGATAGGCTCTGCCCTGGTGCAGCAAAAACAGCTGAGAAGAGCCAGAACTGGGCCTGAAATAGTGAGGACTAATTACTTGTAGCCAATGGAGAAGCCTGGCACCACAGTCAAAGCACTGTCCCCCAACAAAGGAAGCCAGAGGCTCTTAATCGGGAAAACACATGCATGTTCCTATAGGAAGACACCTCACAACTGAACATGCTCAGATGGAGCCCATGCAGCCTCATACATTGCCCCTTCAAAAAAACTATTGGACAAAAATGCCTCCTGGGTAGAGGAGTATGATAATAAGCAAAATTTTCTTCAAGTCATCTAAAAGAGTTGAGTCAGAATGACTTCTGGGAAAGTCTTATCTGAAGCCAAAGTACTACTTGGAGGAGGGCTAACAGTATTTAAAGGGACAGCACACCCACTGTGCAGAGGTGATCACCTCTCAAATACCTGTCCAGCAGCCAACATGGGGACCTCACTTCTCTGGTGGAGGCAAGAAGCATCTTTCATCTGCAATCCCTGTCCTAGGCATGAATGCGCATTCAGTGCCAGAGAATGTGGCTGTAGGGAAGGCTAATAGGCATAACTGGGTTTCGTCAGTTTCCCTTACTTCCTCTGTTTCTAGACCCCCCTGTCTCTGTTCCCCACTTGCCCACTGTCACAGTGTTCTTCAGTCCCAAGAAGAAGTATGTGTTTGTCTGGCCCTCAGACTCCCTGGGAATGATGGCTCACGCTTGCCCTGTTTCTGCAGACATGGCCGTGCAGAACTTCGTGGGAGATGCCTGTCGTGGTGCCACCTGGGTTGCACTTCACAATGGAGGGGGTGTAGGCTGGTAAGAAGACATCAGAGAGCAGGCTGGGTGCTGATGTGGAGACGTGGGGACCTCTTGGGAGAGGGACAGGGGCCCGGGGTTCTTGGACTTAGATCCCTGGCCATTTGTTCTATTGAGGGCTTTATGCAAATGCATTCCTCATGTGAACTGGGAGCCAGAGGGTCAGTATGTTGGGGTGTGGAGGATGGAGGAACAGAGAGGGACACTTCCATAAAGCAATTCCAGCAGTTTGGCCCATCCCTTTCATATAGGACACAAAGGCCAGCATGAGCAACAGCCATGTTGGTTTCCACATTCCCATCCCCACCATAACGATCTCACTTTAAAGAATGGGAGCCCCTGGTTGCCAGGACAGCAGGTTCTAGGCTCCTCACTCTCCCCAGCTCACAACTATGTTCACACAGGTTACTTTCCAGTCAGCACCAGGGCAGGGTCATTAAGGCCTCCAGGATGGCCTCTATATTAGTCGTCTTTCTATTCCTCTAGCTTGTACAGAGGAAAGGCTTATCTGGTTCACAGCATCACAGGCCGCAGTCCGTAGTCAATTGGTCATACTGTTTGTAGGCAGCCCAGCATGACAGGAGCCTCTAGGGATGGGGGCAGAACGATTCATACGTGACAGGGAAAATAAGAAGAAACCAGGATCCCTTATGATCCTGCAAGGGCACTTCCTCAATGATCTGAAGACCTCCCATGAGGCCTCACTCATTAAAATTTCCACTACCTCCCTCAAGGGAACATTTAAGATCCAACTATAGGAGTTTCATTCTGACTGGCATTGGGCTTTCCTCTGTGGCTAAGAGTATGAACTCAGATTCATCAGACATGGAATATCCAGCAACATTTGCGGACCCATTTCAATCCCCCTCTCACAGAACCAGACAGAACATAGGCTTTACAGAGGAAGTTTGCCTCTGCTGGGAGTTTCCTGTCTGGGATCCCCAGAGTAGGCCAAAGCTGGGACCCTGGCTGCTCTGAGCAGCTAAGGGCACTATGGTCTCAGAGAGGGAGAAGACCTCTGAGCCAGTATGGGCTGGGTCCCAGCAAGCCTCTGCCTTGACGAGCCAGGTCCTTCCGTTAACCGGCTTCCCAGGGCATTCAGATGGCTGGCTTGGCCTCATGCCCACCAAGGCTGGCATTCCAAGCTGCAGCCCTGTCAGGTGGCTTTAATTAGTGGAAAATGTGACCATAGTGCATGTCCTGGCTGGAGAAGAACAAGACAAGAGTTCCCTGGGTATGGGGTGCCTGGGAGGGGACGACTGTGACTGTAAAAAAGACTGAAGTTTGTCCAAAGCCTCACAAGACGAAAGCAGCAGGCAGGCTAGGGATTCAGTAGGGGGAATCTGGGAAGCCCTGGCTTCTAGCATTATTGCAGAAAGGGTTGAGGAACCTGGCTCACGCTGTTGCTTCTCCAAGGACAAGCCACACCCAGTTCTGTGGCTTTACTGTCTTCCTCATTTGACAGGAATCTATGTTTCTGAGCTGTTTGTCCTCAGGCTTCTTGACTTACTTCTTCACTTCCTGGACTGTCTACCGGTGCCCTGGGGAATGGCTCTTCTCTGAGCAAGGTCCTCATCCACAGCTGTGTGCATGGGTACATTCCATTTTAGCGTACTCCACGGTCCCTCTTTTGGAGTGGCTGCTTAATGACTTCTTTTGTGCTTGTGTGTCCACTGGCCAGGCTTAGTGAGAGCACCAGCTGGCTTCAGCTCCATGTGCTCCAGGCTGTGCTGCAGGGCAGGGCCATTTGGCAAAGTCACTGAGTGGGAGAAATTGTACCTTAGCAAAGACTTCTCTGGGCTAGTTCTATAGGACAGGATTGCAAGGGGGTAGACTTTATGTGTCACAGAATCATTTCAGAGACCAGGTGAGTCAACTCAGGCAGCCTCCGGGCAGTCAATGCATCTGGGCAATTAGCAGCCCACATGGGCATGGCAGCTTCCAGCCAGCCTTCCAGTGTGCTCATTCACTCTTCATGGCCACTTCAGAGGGGCCTGAGAGCAACCTCCCTCCCTTCTCAGAGCATATCCCAGACCAGAGTGTAGCTCAGTAACAGAGCACTCGTCTAGCATGTACAAAACCCTGGGTACAACGAGAAAGGCTGCTTCCCATTCTGGTGGGTAAGCAGGCATCACACAGAGGGTGATACAGAGAGGGTCTCGGAGGTTTACATGAAGTGGACAAGACCAGCTCAGAAGCATAACTGGCTGAGAAGCCAGGGTGTTGCCACTCTGTGCTGCTGACCACGTGGCTCTGTGATGTAGAGTCCAGTGTGACGAGACCCCCCTCTCCCCCAGTGCTGATATCTTCTCAAGCCAATGCCTGAAGCCTTGCACGATGCCTGCTCCAAGAAAGCCAATGCAGGGAGTGAGCTAGGAACCTCTTTGTCTCTTGCAGGGGCGAGGTGATCAATGGGGGATTTGGCCTTGTGCTAGATGGGTCGGCACAGGCTGAGCAGAAAGCCAGGATGATGCTCAGCTGGGATGTCTCCAATGGTGTAAGTCCCCCAGAACTCCTCAGCTTTTCCCTGTCTCCCCTCCTCCATGGCTCTGCCTCCAGGTTGGAAGTCTGGGCTACAGTTCTGGCCCTTCCCAGTAAGGGCCTCTACTGTCTTTCTAGCCCTTCCCTGCTCCCTCTTTTATTTTTTTTTTTTAAGATTTATTTATTTTTATTTGATTTTATGTGGATGAGTGTTTTGCTAGCATGTATACACACTCTGTGTGTGCCTGGTACCCTGAAAGGTCAGAAGAAGGCATCAGAGCCCTTGGAACTGGAGATACTGATGGTTGTGAGCCACCATGTGGGTGCTGGGAACTGAACCTAGGTCCCCTGGAAGAGTAGCCAGTGCTCTTAACTGTTAGCCATCTCTCCAGGCCCCAGGGCTCCCTTTTCACCGCCCCTTCCCGACTATTTCCACACTTTCCTTTGGGTCTCCTTGTCTCTGGTCTCACTCTTGTTTTGTTTTGTTTTTCGAGACAGGGTTTCTCCGTGTAGCTTTGCACCTTTCCTGGAACTCACTTTGTAGCCCAGGTTGGCCTCGAACTCACAGAGGTCTGCCTGCCTCTGCCTCCCGAGTGCTGGGATTAAAAGTGTGCACCACCACCACCCGGCTTCTGGTCTCACTCTGAAGTCTAGCTTCTGTAAATGCAGATAGACCCTGGCAGGCTCAGCCCTTCCTTCTGAAGCACCCCCTATACTGGTATTGAGGCCTTACTCTTTGGGGGCTGGGGTCGAACCCAGGGCCTCAGACATGGTGACCTCTGTCATTTTGCTGTGCCTTGGCCTCATGATCTCCCTTTTAAGGCTCACCGTTCCCTGCTTCGTGTTGCTGTTCCTTTTTGCTGTCTGGGTGGCCTTTGCCCATGCCAGGCAGGTGCTATACCCCAGCTACACCAGCCCTCACTGCCACCTTCGAAGGCAGCCAACGAGCATATTTCAGAATCTAGACGGGCCTTTCATCCTGCAGCTATGACCCATCTTTACAGCATCCTGGGGGGGGGGGGCAGCGCAGATTCCTCTCCCAAACCATATCACAGGCAGCCCAGAAGGGTCGACCTGAGGTCAGAGGTCAGGTAATGATGAGGAAAGGTATACAGGGTGTGAACAAACCGAAGAGGGATTCCAGAGCAAAGGACCAGAGTGAAGACAGTAGCTCTGGAGGACCGAGGTTGCACCCAGAGGCAGGGAGAGGGGAGGGTCCTCTGGTAGGGCCACTCACCAGGAACCACTAAACTTCAGTACTTCAACAGGGGGTGCAGGGGTGGGGGAGGGGAGCTACATCCTGGCTCTAGGAGTTGGAGTGATCCAAGATGGGGTTTCCTCCCAGGAGACCTCACTGTCAGTGGTGTGGATATAGGCCAGGGGTGGCTTGGGAATTGTGGGTGGCAGCTAGATGGGGAGGTGCCATGGTCACCATTTAGGACAGACCAGGCATAAGAGAGGAGGCAGGCTAGGGGGGGGGGTGGCATAGCTGATGATGAAGATTCTGAAGGGGAAAAGGATGGATGCTGGGGATGAGCTTGTTCTGTCCAGGGAGTGCCCTCTATAAATGCCAGGGCATTCTTAGAGGTGGGGATAGGGCTGGGTAGAAGAATAACTGGATTCAGATTGAAAAGAGGGTAAGTCAGTTACATGTTCCAGGGAGAGAGCAGGGATTCTAAGCCTGGCAGATACAAGGGAGGCTCTGAAATCCCCAAGTAGAAGAGGACAAGGAGTTTGGGAGCCAGGATGCCACGTGGACAGCCCAGTGATGCTGACACCAGTGCTGTCTGCTCGGCTTCTGCAGGTGGCGCGGCGCTGCTGGTCTGGGAACCCCAAGGCCTATGAGATCATCTGCCAGACAATGCAGGAGAACAGCGGCCTGGCGGTGACCCTTCCCCACGAGGTGGTAGATGAACGAGTGATACAGCAGGCCCTGAGGCCCTGAGAAGAGCCAGGGTCCTCTTGATCCCCTCCTTCCCACTGCCCTCCCCTCTCAGATCACCCCCCCCCCCGGCACTGCACCCCTACATAGCTCTCCTAGTGTCCCACACGGTGAACCACAGAGTCTTTGACCAGTGGATTGAGAGCCCTCCAACAACAGTAGGACACATCTTGTTTATGGGCAGGTCCTTAAGACTGCACTAGAGTGGACTCCAGCTTAGATGGCCAAGCTGGCGCCAGCCTCCCAGCATTCTGTGACCTTCTCGAAGTGATGTTCAGTCTCCTGTCCACCACCGTCCCCACACTACCTTCCTAGCTATCCTCCCATCCCTTGTCTGTGCCATCATTTCCGGTTCCTCAGGGAACCAGGGATGGGTACACAAAGTGCCCACACCAGGTCCCTGATGCCGAGGAATACGGGGAGGAGAGAGACAGGAAATAAAGAATAAAGGAGAGGCGAGTACATGGCGTAAACTGGGCTAGCAGGAGTGGGTAGCACAGTGTCTGAGGCAAAATGGCCAGGTGCTGGGCCATGTGGAGAGAAGACACTTTCCAGGTCAGCTGTGTGGACCTGAAAAACAGAACCAACCACTTCCCTGAGGTCCCTGGGGGTCTGTTTGGGAACTGGAATCCTGCAGGAGTTGCATTGGCCTAAAGCTGGGGTCTTGCACCCTTCCCAGACCAACCAACCGGATCTACACCAGACTTGCCTCTGGAGCAGGGGCCCTGGCAAAGAGAATTGGGTAGCTGTGCTTCCTTGGCCTGCCTCTGAAGTTGCTACTCCTTCATAGTGCCACCTACCTCCCAACCCCCGGCTTCAGGGCCCTCCCACCACGCTGTTCCCCGTGCCCTCTCTTCAGTCCTCCCCAGGCCAGCTCTCCCGATGTGTTTACCATGGGCTTGTTGTCCCCTATGCTGAGTCAGGGCTAAAGAAAATCCTAAAGGTGGATGAGAGAAAAGGGAGAGAAAGAAAGACCCCTGGGACCACTGGCCTGGCACCAGAGAAGTTGTGCCATGTTTGGCTCATCCTGACATAGGACCAGACAGAAGGAACCCTTTGTCTTCCCTAGAGTGCCATAGGAAAGACATGAGGGTCCTCCAGCACCCCTATCCAGGATAGACCATGATGCCCTGCTGTGGGAGCAGGACTGAGAGATTTGGGTGTGGACAGTCCTACTTCACTGTCATGAGCAAGCAATGGTCTTATTTAGACTTAAGGAGACACCGGGCCTTAGGAAAATGTAATTAAGTCTGATACAAACACAAAAGGATGTTTTATTATGATGTTACCATAATCGAATATGCAAGGCAATTAACATACAAAGAGACGAGTGGTTTTTTGGCTGACAGTTCTGGAGGTCCCCACCAAAGATCAAGAAGTTGTATTGCTTTGGGCTTCTGGCAACAGTGCCAAATGGCAACGGCAGGGGGCACATGGCAGAACAAAATGCTTACCCTACGAGCCAGGAAGCAAAGAAGGGAAGTTTGGACCCAAGCCCTACAATCCCTCAAGGGCCTGTTCCAATGACCTAAAGACCTCCCACTAGCTCTGACGCTAAAGTTCCACCACTTCCCAACACCCCCTCTTAATAGACGAGCCATAGCAGAGGTCAACACTTGCTTCCTGTTCTCTTGGTCTGTGTTTCTTGCATGAAATAAAAATTTTCCTAAATCAAAAAGTAAGTGTGGAGTCAGACATCCTTCAATGAGGGGCCAGGGCCTCTCAGCCTCAGTTTCCAAATACGCCCTGCACAGCCATGATGCCTGGATCTCTGTTGAGAGGTACCCTTGGTTTTCCTTTATTCTCTATGTAGTATCACAGCAGGGAATCAGGCAGAGGCTGGCACTGGAGTAGTGCCCTCCACACCCATACCATGTGTGTGCTGTTGTCATGTGGAGCCCCAGCCCTTTCCTGTAGAGGAACTCTCCTGTACTGTGAAGGGTACAGCAGGCAACAGTCAGCACAAGCGCTGGCCCTTGTCTTCCGATAGAATGGATACCTCGTGTGGCATATCCAGCATTCGGATATGGTTAGTGTGACCAGGAAGCTGAATTGTAAATTTTGACATTTTAATTCATTTAAAGTAAATTTCATTCTAGTTCATATAAGAGTAACTGAAATATAATGAGATTATAATTATAGCCTGGGGCTATTCTGTTTTTCCCCCCTAAAAGCCAGGAATATGTTTATTTATGAAAAAGCAATCCTTATAAGACATTGGGGGAGGCTCAGTGGTAGAACACATACTTAGTACACACACACACACACACACACACACACACACGCACGCACGCACGCACGCACGCACGCACGCACTAGTATATACACACACTAAAATAAAGTAAAATTTAGCTGAACAGATAAATACATATGGTAGCATTCAAAAACAACAAGCCACAATCTTGTGATGAGATACTGAAATGTGCCTACCATCACGGTAGTATGGACAGTCAGGGCTCAGTGGTGTGCAGTGGCCCTGTCCTGGCTGGCCGCCTCTGTGGCCTGTGAGGCCAGTTTTGCTCAGATTCCTCACCAGGTTCCCTGCCTCCATTCTCAGCCTAATTGTACTCCTGGGGAGATCCTTGCAAAGTGCAACAACAGCGTGTCATACCTCTGCCTGAAAACCACGGTGGCTTCTCTGAGCCTTGCTGGTGCCAGGACTTGAGCACCCCAACCTGGAAGGGCTAACAGAAAAAGTGTTCCTCAGAGACAGTCCAGCAGAAGGTAGAAGGAACCCCGGGTCTGGAGGGTTAGAGAAACCAGAGGAGAATGAGTAGTGCGGGTCGGTAAGATGAGTCCTTGCAAACCCAGGAGGCTGAATCCACCCCATGATAGATGTCCTAAAAGCTACTGAGACACTCTTGAAACAGCAGAGAACATAGAATAACGTCTACATGCTATCTGCTGCTTTTCAATACATCTTCTCCTTTCTTTTATTGTAGTAAAACACAACAAAGTTTACTATCCCATCCACTTTCCAGGCTGCATCGCAGTGATCCGAAGCATTCCATGATGCAATGCAGCAGTCTAGGAGCTTGTCATCACCCCAAGCCTGACACTGTCCCCTCCCTGCTGTCTTCCTATTATTATGTGCTCCAGAGGCCTCACAGATGGAGACTCACATAGTGTGTGCCCTTCTGTGTCCTAGGATCTATCCATGTGGCAGCATGTAGCAGAACGCCCTTCCATGCTAAGGCTGAGTTAGTCTGCACTGCAGAGTGGACCACATTTGCTTAACCGTTCAGCCACTGGAGGACTCACGGGCTGCTGTGAATGTTGCTGTGGACACAGGTGTGCGTGTGTCTACAGGAGGCCCTGCTTTCGGCTCTTTTGCACCTAGAACTCTAACTATAGGATCACATGATAATTCTATGTTTTTAAGGAACTATCCAAACATTTTCCATAGTAGAAAAATAATGTCTAATCTAGAATTTAATTTCTAAACTACTTGCTTGTGATCTAAAACAAATCAACTAAGGCCAGTGAGATAGATCAGTGCTTAAAGGCACCTGCTACCAAGCCTGATGGACTGAGTTCAACCCCCAAAACCTACATGATGGAAAGATTCAACTGACTGCTGTGTCCTCTGACCCCCATATACCATAACACACACACACACACACACACACACACACACACACACACACAAACTAATTAACAATAAACCCAATGGTGCCAAAGGGAACCTAGGGTATACTCAAAGCCCTTCTCCCCACCCCACCACAGAAGTGGCATCAAGGGTCTTTCTGGAAATTTTTTTTCAGAGTATGTATGCATATGCACAGATATGCAATGCTCTTTCCATACAAACAAATGGGATCTTCCTATTTCTGTGTTGACTTTTAAATGTTTTTTAACTGAAACATACATGAGTCATTGCTGTCAAGTTTATTGTTAGTAGTTTTTGTATATCAGAAGTGCTGTTTAATCAGCACCTCTAATGCAAATTTTTTTGCTTCATAGAGAAGCCATCACTATTATAAGCTAGTCCTAATTCCCCATCTCCCTGTAGCCACCGGTGGCCACTAATCTACTGTCTAACAGACTTAGCTCTTCTGGACATTTCATATACACGACATTATCATAAGACATCTTTCATAAATCTTTCATCGGGTTGGGCATGATAAATTTGCAATATTCTATGTTATAGTTCAAAAATATTCCACTGTATGAACACATATTCATCTGATGATGAAAAATTGGGTTGTTTCCCCTGGGGAGTTGTGATAACTAAGGCTACTATGAATATTCATGTGGTTTATGTGTGGACATATTTCCATCCCTCTTGGAGTAGATACAAGGGGAGGGGCATAGTCTTGCCTGTTAAGGGATAGGCTGGTGGGAAATGGGGTAAATCGGGTGTGGGAGCAAAGGGCAGGTTGGCGAGGTTTTAATAGTATTTGCACTTTCAGAAGATTAAATCCTGCTCTGCAGAGAACAGGCTGGGGGGGGAGGGGGCGGTTGGGTGAAGGGAGGTTGAGGACAGACCCCTTAGTTATTTGAGAATGTAGGAGTGAAATGAGTTTGAATTTGGGCGGTGATGACAGAAATGGAAGGACTCCAGATAAACCCGTACGGCAGAAGTCGGGCAGCCAAGTCCAGGGAACAACTACCAACGTGGTAGGCTCACACTGTCAAGGCAACCAGGGAATGTCCTTGGTGGCAACGGCAGGGATCCATTCAGGACCTGCCTCGGCGGAGCAAGTCAGGTTTGTGGTCCAGCAGTACCAGGTAGATGTGCACTTCAGCGAAGTCACGGAGAAAGAAGATGTCAAGCAAAGTGCAGAGGTTCAAGGCCTGACTCCAAGTTCCAGGCCATATGGCCCCAGGTAAACCGGACATCTGTCTCCTGACACCTGGCAAGCACAGATTGAATCAGCTCATCTTTTCAAGGCACGGAAGGCTCGAGGAACGCTGACGAGGTGCGACTGGCTTCCACTCCTTTGCGCTACCCAGATGCAGAAGGAGGGGCCGAAGACCCTCTTCCTCTCAATCTGGGACTCACCCCCAAAGTACACCCAAGTTGGAGGCCCCGCCCCCGCCCCCGCCCCGCCCCCCGGAGCCCTCGTGACTACAGTCCCGGCAGCCCTCGCGCGCCACGCCCACGGCTCCTGCGCACGCGCAGCTTGGAGGTGCGGCTCGGGGGGGCCGTACTCTACGCGGAGCTTTGACAGAGACTCCCTCAGGGCTGGCGGGGCGGACCCTTGGTGTCGCGCGCATGCTTGGCAGGGCCGGGCCGCTCTTCTCCTGAGGCTGCGGCCCGGACGCCTCAGCTGGGCCTCTAAGATGGACCTCCCGGCCGTGCTCGCCGCCCCGGTCGCGCGCGGAGACCAACATGGCGGTGGCCCAAGCCGACTTCGCCGCGGCGCGGGGCCATCCCTGGGTGCGGGCCCCGGGCGCCGCCGCCTGCTGCTGCTCAGGGGCCCGGAAGATGGCGGGCCCGGGCCGCGTCCGGAGGAGGCCCCGGGGCCGAGCCCGCCGCCCTCCGAGGACGGCGGCGACTCCTTCGTGGTACTGCTGGAAGTGCCGCGCGCCGCGGCCGACGCCCCCGGACAGGAGGAGGAGGCCGAACCCGGCCCCTGCGCGAGCCCCCCGGAGCAGGTCCCCGCCGCCGCCCCCGGCGCCGCTCTGGCGGGCACCGTCACCATCCACAACCAGGACCTCCTGGTGCGCTTCGATCGCGGCGTCTTCACGCTGGCCGCCGCGCCCGCGCCGGCCGCCCCGAGCCTGCATCCCGCCACTGCCCCAGGCCCGGAGCCCTCGAGCGCCTGTGCGTCCCGCCGCGGGCCGGCGGCCGCCAGCGCCGGCTCTCCCGCCTACCGCTGTCCCGAGCCGCAGTGCGCGCTGAGCTTCGCCAAGAAGCACCAGCTGAAGGTGCACCTGCTGACGCACGGCAGCCTCCAGGGCCGGCGGCCCTTCAAGTGCCCGCTGGAGGGCTGCGGCTGGGCCTTCACCACCTCCTACAAGCTCAAGCGACACCTGCAGTCGCACGACAAGCTGCGGCCCTTCGGCTGCCCGGTGGGCGGCTGCGGCAAGAAGTTCACCACCGTGTACAACCTCAAGGCGCACATGAAGGGCCACGAGCAGGAGAGCCTGTTCAAGTGCGAGGTGTGCGCCGAGCGCTTCCCCACGCACGCCAAGCTCAACTCCCACCAGCGCAGCCACTTCGAGCCCGAGCGCCCCTACAAGTGTGATTTCCCCGGTGAGCCGGAGCCGCGGAGCTGCGGGGGCGGGCGGGACCCGACCGTGTCCGGATCAGGGGTCAATCAAGCTCTGTGCTGTTGTTTGGGCAGGGTGTACCGGGGGATGCCCGGATCTAAGTGAGCAGCGTGCAAAAAAAAAACCCACTCCCGTGTTTGTGTTCAGGTTCCTTTCAGGTAGTTAGATGGGAACCCTTGGGTTCCTACAGCGAAGTGGCATGCATAGTCACAGCTGCCCCTGGGGGAGGCCACAAGTCCCTTGTTAAGATGCTTCCTATGAAAGTGACCACTTCTTCTCAGAGTTGAGTCGAGACTTTATTTTTCTCAAATCTACTCAAGTATATGAGATGAGTCAGAGATCCAAGACTATAAAGGCCATATATGCCACCTTAAATTACTGAGGGAATTACACAGTGCTTCTCTGGACCTTCTCCAGCCTCTATGGAAGCCCTACGGATTAGCGGACACAGAGTCCCCA